CTTCCTGCCTCTCCTGCCCCGCAGACCACGCTGCCCCAGAAGCAGCCAGCAGCCGGTTCCCAGCCAATGGGAGTGCGGAGCTAGTGCTCAGGGGCAGGGCAGGGAGCCCTGTGCGCTCCCCTCCCCCCACCCCACCTAGGAGCTGGGCCTGCTGCTGGCTGCATTTGGGGCACAGCACAGTTTGCGGTACAGGACAGGCAGGGAGCTGCCTCTAGTCCCATCCCCCCTCCAGCTTCCCCTGCAGCCACGAGCCCCAGGGTCCGACATTCCACCACCTAGTACTGGGTTGCGACCTCTAGTTTGAAATAGGGATGTTGAATTGCATTTGATCAGCTAATCGAGTAGTCAGTCGATGGAATTTCCATCGATTAGTCGATGGGGGGGAAACTGCAGAGCCCACCCGGCTCTTCCTCCTAGTGCAGAGTAAATTTTGTTGCTTACACCAAAGCATGTGCAGATGTGCACTGTGAACACAAACACAGGCTGCCGGCTGAGCGCACTCTGCTAATCAGCTGAGTGATATTTGAATCTCTCCTGCATGGCCACCCAAGCACACAGCTTACAGCGAACACTGATCCTGAGTTAGCTGACAACCACTGGCATTGCTGCAGCCTTGACTGTAGTCAGCGTGACCCCCCCCGCCAGGTTTCTAGAGCAGGTCTGCTCCAGCCGGCTTTCCCTTTCTAGGGCCAAAACAGCCAGGCTGGGCCAGGGCACTAGACAACAAGTCCAGGCAGGTTAAAATGTTCCCTTATAGGTTGCTGTGGGTTACCATTTCTGGTGTCTGACTTGGTCCATTTAGCCCAGTGTTTCTTAAACTTTTTAAGACTGAGGAATACCAAACAATTTTTTTTAATGAGGAACACCAAGGATTTTTTGTTGAGGGGAGAAAAAAAAGGGTTGGGGGGAACTTAACGAGGGGGAAAAAAAGTTGCCTGCCTCTTTATGGGTGGCCGTTTTGAACTGTTCTCCACAGCACACCTCTGACTGCCTCTGTGGCACATCAGTGTGCCACAGAACAGTTTAAGAAATGCTGATTTAGCCTTTGTCGCATAGACGGTCCAGTTTGGCCAACACCCCTGGCGGAGGGGCATTGCTGACCATTGGTGGCATAGATCACCAACTGCACGTCCTCTGATGTGTTGTATGCCACCCAGGGCCAGCAGTGTCCGATGCCTGATTAACTTGAGCAGAATTGTCCAGGGTACATAAAGTGTGTCAGATCCTCATGGGGCCAGATGCCACAGCGACTGCCAACTCTCTGGAAAGGAAACCGTCCTTTTTAGAGTAAAACATGAAGTGTCGGGCCCTGTGCACACCGAGATTGCAGAAGTGCTTTGTTTCTGCTGGTAATGTGAACAGTAAATGCCTTCAGGGGTCAGTGGTGCCATCACAAAGACAGAGCTAATTATGAGGAAGAGGATGGGTCAGCATAGGCCAGCAATTATCACTTTGATCGCCTGCAGGTTGGCCTGGCTTTCCCATAGCCTCTGTGCTGCACTGTTTGAGCCTGAAGGCTTGGTGTAGTCCCCAGGATGGAAACAGAAAAGAAACTGATTTATGCAGATCTGGATTGTAGTGTTGGAAATAATCCCTGAAAGATGCTTGTTTGCATGAGATTGGAAAATCTGATATTCATTCCAGAGTGCTCGCCAATCTTTTGGAAAGACATTTTATATGATCTGATTCATTGAGTCTTGAAAGTGTAAGACATCTTTTAGCAAGATGCTTATGCTTAAAAGCCAATTTGGTCTGCAGGAAGGGAAAAGGAAACGCCCCATTTCTCTGTATATTTTACAAGTGGATTTCCTGATATTCTGAATTTTCTTTTAGCCTCTATCTGGGAGAGGGATTTACTGTATAGAAGACATCAAAAACTTATGAAGCTAAAAAAGAAAAGCTTGATGTTAAAGAATACTTTATATGTATCAAATGGTGACATTTCAAACAGCTGTGATCTTGCAACATACTGATTTTTTTTGTCAGTTCTGCATAAAACTTGTTTGTTTAATTTAAAAATAGAGACACGATCATGTGAGATGCTGACCCAATTCCTGTGACAACTTGCTTCATGGTGTTTTCTTTGACTGTGCTTTGAATGTTTGCCTCCTCTTTTCCAGATTTTACATTACATTGTTTTGAGAATTAGTCTCCGGTGCGGAATGCAAACCCAGGCTGTCACTGTCTGAACTCATTGTAGGGATACTTGCGTTGAAGCCCAGTTTCTGCTTGGTGGTGGTTACAAAGGGTTACGTGTTCGTCGCTTTGTTAAACAGCCTGTGACACAGAAGTGATGAGTTTGAACACACAAGACAAAGTTTTATTCCTGAAAATGTAAACAAAAAAACTTCTAGGGAGGTTGTGGACTCTCCCTCAGTGGAGAGAGGGAAGAACAGGTTGGACAGACACCGGTCAGGGATGATCTAAAAGGTGCTGCATCAGGACTGGATTTCTCGCGGTCCCTTCCTTTCCTGTAATTCTCTGAACTAGGGTGGGCTGGGGCCAGGGGCAGGGCTCCCCGGGGGGG